CACATCTAAAGAGGACTGATATCCAAAATAAGAACTCAAGAAACTAGATATCAAACAGATTTCTCAATAGAGGAACGTCAAACAGCTGAGAAACACTTAAAGAAATGTACAGCATTTTTAACCATGAGGAAAACGCAAATGAAATCTCCAAACAACCCAGACTGTTGCTAAGACAGCAATCCTCTCTGCAAACTGATAGAGGGGGCCCACTGCAGAGGACAACACCCATACAACTCATTGAAGATGGAAAAGTCAAGCTGGTGTCCACACGACCTCACCTCTACATTCTGGTGGTTTTGGTGAGGGAAAGTACTCTGCAGGTTACCAAAAGAGAAATGTACACACCAAGCCAGCCACAAAATCTTTGATGTACAATATGTCCTGCATGCTAGGACAATGGTGGCACAGAACTTGTGCAAGTCACCAACCAATGTCTGATAAAATGGAACCCCTATCCAACACTGCTCGGGTGACCAAGAACCAGAGACTAAATAGCCCAGAGACCTAGGATAAAACAAATACTACTGTTCTAACAACAACAACAAAAAAGTATCAATAAAATGACTCATAGTGATATTCTGCTATTCTCATAGATCAGTGCCTTATCCAGTCATCATCAGAGAAGCTTCCTGTGGCAGCAGATAGGAACAGATGCAGAAACAAACAGCCAGACATTACTGGCAAAGACAGTTTAAATGGGATATCTCCATCACTGCCTCCCTCAAGAGCTCACTGCTGCTGAAGGGGAGGTGGAAAGAATGTAAGAGCAAGAGGGGATGGAGGACACTAGGAGAACAAGGCCCACTGAATCAACAAAGCAAGGCACGAATGAACTCACAGAGACCGAAGCAGCAAGCACAGGGCCTACAAGGGGCTGCATTTCTCTGTGTATTATTTATATGTATGTATGTGTATATATTATAGCTTTTAGCTCAGTATTTTCACATCATTCTGAGATTTAGTCATTAATTAATTCACCTACTCAAAACATAGTTAGTAGATGTCTGTAACTGGGTATAAAGTAATGAAAAATCCATGTGATCTCTATGATCACAAGTCCTGAAGTCTTGAAGATGAAGCAATACTGAAACATAAGTGGAGAGCTGGGCAAGTGACTATAGGAGGGAAAAGACAAGGCTTATATGGTACAGCTTAGTGCTTTTACAGGAGTCCTCCGTGTGAGAATGAATGGGTCTCTGATTCTTGTCCCTGCTCTAAGGATCTTTTCCTCCTGTTGGTTAGCCTCGTCCAACTGTGATATGATGGTTTTTGCTTTATCTTAGTATATTTTATTTTGTCATGTTTGGTTGTTATCTCTTAGAAGCTTGTTCTTTTCTAATGAGAGATAGAAAGGGTGTGAATCCAGAGGGGACAGGAGGTGGGGAGGGACAGAGGGAGGAGAAACTAGAATCAGGATATATTGTATCAGAAAAGAAAATATTTTCAATAAAAGGAAAAAATAAAAAATATTTGAGTTAGCTTTAGTGACATTTCATGCTAAAATCTCAACAGTAAGTAATTATACTTCAGCAAACTAGCAATGAACAATTAAAGGCAGAGAAAATTAAATTACCATTTCAAGAAAAAAAGACTCTCATATATAAATGTAAAAAAGCAGGCATGAGTCCTGTCTGAGATGCCTACACAGTTTGATGAAAGAACTCAAGATTAATATAAACAGAAAACATGGCTGTACCTCATCAGTTAAAATTTAATGTAGCAGCAAGGATGTCCTTAAACACATAACCAAACTCCAATCAAAATCCCTGGTTACTTCCAAGTTAGAGGCAAGGTTATCCCAAAATTCTCGGGAGAGGCAAAGGAGGTGGAACAGCGAAATAGTCCTGAAAGGGAAGAATGGATTCTGGAGGAGCATGCCTTCAGACTGTGAGACTCACTACACTGCAGGAGCCAACCTGGTGTACTTGTCAGCAATGGAAACAGATGCCATGGGCAAGAGCAGATATAGATTTCTACATGTGCACTCAGCTGGTTCTCAAATGCTACAAAAAGTCATTCTTATCCAATGGCGGATAGGTGATATTTTCATCAAATGGTGTTAGAATTACTCGCATTCATACAAGTAAAAATGGACCTGAGCCAAAACCCCACACATCACACAAAAGTAAAACTTATAATGGGTTGCAGATTTAAGTGGAAACACAAAAATGTAAAACTTAAGATTACATTCGAGAAGAGCCTAGGCTCCAGAGCTGCACCAGGATTCTTAGGGTCCCACAGGTGTGAGGCACAAACCACAAAGCCATCAAGTTGAATTGTATCAGACAGAGATCTTAGGGTTGCACAGCTCTATGAGGAGAATGTGGAGCCCAGCAGGGCCTGGGAGAAGATATCTGCACCGTGTGTCTGGCAGAGGATTTGAACTCATTATATACAAAGACCTTTTGATGCTCCCCTACAGGAAAAAGATTAAAGTTAGAAATATGTAAAAACTATGAACAGATGTTTCGTAAGATATAATAATCAGACAAAACCAGACCAAACCAACCAACCAACCAAAAAACACCCCAGCATGAAACCATCTCGGCACCAAAAGCTGTCAGGTAAATGAGAATCAAAGCCACTGAGGAATATCAGCACACACCCATTGGAGTGATTAAAATCAACAGAAGCAAAGAAAGCTGGCGAGCACATGGCACAGACAGTGTCTCAGGCCCTGCTGGTGGGGACTCAGGCTGGTCTAGCACTGTGGAAAACAGAAGGCCAGGGTCTTGTACAGGTAAACATACATCACAGGCAGCAAGCGAGCCAAACCCAGGTAAAATTAAAATGCATTCACAGAAACTCTGTTGTGAAATATCTGTAGAAACTTCAATGTAACTTCCCCAGACGGGCAACAACTGAAATGCCCTGCAGCAGATGAACAGATCCACAAACTATGGTCCATGTCTTACTATTCAGCAATAAAAAAGAAACTAGGGACACACAACTGAGCTAACTCTCGGGAACTGTGTTGACTTGTAGGGAGCGGAGGAAGCCTGAGTGAGTGAAGCCCTGAGTGTGTTGACATGACCTGGACATGCCAAGAACCCTGTAGCCTCAGACCCATGTTTTAATGTCAGAGCCTTCCCTCCTGGGATGTGGCTCAGAGGGAAATGGCAAAGTTTTCCCTTTGAGTCTTTGTGTGGATAGTGTGTGCAGAAAATGCTCTTCATAGCTTTCTCCATCCTATCCCACCCCAACCTTATAACCTTGCAGACTGCTCCCCTGTGGAACGTTCTACTGAGATTCACTGAACCCATCTCTTTGACTCAGCTGTGCACCATAAACCCCACCTCTTTTTTTTTACCCTGCCTTTGTTCAATTATACATAATAAACACACTGTGCTTCCAAGTGCTGTGCTTTCTCCAGCAGAGAGCCCAGAGCAACCCATCACAGCTTTCTGTCTTTTCTTTATTCCCTTGAGGCCTGGTCAGGTCAGGTAAGGAGCAGTGACGGACGAGGCACTGAGTGAAATGCTAGTTCTGAAAGATCCAACAGAAGGACTCCATGACCACAACTCCTCTCTATGAAGAGACAAAGCCAGTCGAGCAGAGGTTTTGTCTGTGGTTGCCTGAGGACCTGGCTGGGACCCAGCCCTTGGAGGCAGTACAGCGGTGCTGTGCCCGACAGGGTTATCACACGAATCCAACCATATGCTACAAATGCATAGACTGGCACATAAAATCCAGTTTTTATGTATCTTAATTTAAAAAAGTATGAAGGAAAGAGGAAAAGTGGTAACAGTGTTTGGACTCCATGTAAGGGGAGTCAGGTGAGACACCACAGCTGGCCACAGCAGCACAAACCACCTGCACAGACTCTGAGCCACCTTCTACTGTTCACAACCATCCTCTAAAGGTGCATTTGTGTTAACTTACATCAAAAATCACCCCCAAACCCGCCTAAGGATAAAGGAAATAAAATAATTGACTATCTCCATTTGAGAAGCAAGAGAGTTTGGCATGGACCAGCTCTACCGCAGCCTCCGTCCCAGCCTGTTCATTTCTAGGCTGCTCCTTACAGCAGTAAACTGAGCAGCAGGGACCTCAAGGGACTTCACATGACATGGAGATAGGGCAGCAAGGACCACATTTTTACTCACACACATCACTGAAACCATGAGCTGGGCTGAAATTATGAGAGGCCGAGGGAAAACTTTCAGATTGTGCATTAGGATTTCCTTAGCACCCCAACAAGAACTTCCAACTCTCAGGAGCTACCCCTGGTTATGAAAATGCCTAATAATTCAGTTTTCTCTAATTGACCTTGAGAATCACTGTGGCTTACAATGCTTGACAGTTCCCAATTCCACCATCAGTGATTTATGCATCCGAGACAGATCAGTCTTGGAAAACAAGCTCCTCTTCCCCATGCCCCAGTGTCCTGAGCAGCAGTGACCAGCTTTTTATTTTTCCTTGCTTCAACAGCATCATCACTCAAAAGGAAGAACCAAGGTTAATTCCAGTCTGTGATGACTTGGGGTGAAGAGAGCCCCAGAAATTATCCCATATACACCAGACACATGCTTTCTATGTCTCAAGCACTCTGCCTGAAAAGCCCAAAGGTACACTTTGATTTCCTGGCTACTAGGTGGTTTTTCCACTGATAACTTTGGCCTAAGATATTTGTATCTCAGCTAAGACCAAGATATGAAGGGAAGGTCTCCATGGAAAGCATATTCTTGAGTGTTCTAGAATTTTTACTCCATTGCAGTATATTGTCCTTAAAAATGATTGTTGTTAGTTGGACTCATTCTCCGGAAGCACTCACCGGTGCCACCTTCTTTCTCTGTGTGCCCATTAACAGCTGGTGATCCATGTCCTATCCCGAATACTGACAAGCAAAACAGAAGAATTCCACCCCCAACATTAACAATTTGTTTTACTTCCAAAGTGGCCAAATGCTGTCCAAGTGACACCATTGTCAGTCAGTGAAGACCCTCTCATCTCCTGTCCAAGCCTGAAGGGGTGGTTTGGGGACAATGAGGTCCACATACCTTCCAGCAGGTCTCTGGCCAGACCAGGTTCTGCCCCCGTGGACCGAACAAAGTCTGACAGGACTGCGTCCATATCAAGCGTCATAGGATCATGTAGAAGTGCTGCCCAGCACTCAGCCGAGGGCGGGTTTGGAAGCAGGCTAGAGACCATCCATCTGCAGGAAACAAGAGAAGGGCATCTCACCATGCAATGGACAAGAGGGATGTCTGAACAAACACACACACACACACACACACACACACACACACACACACACACACACAACTCAGAGTCCCCAACAACCAGAAGAAATTCCTACCACCTCCATTGTACCGTTCTCAATTTGTTTTTAAGTAATTCCATTCCTTTACATGCAAGCTGTTACATCATTAAAGTCAAACTAAAGCATCAATCCTCTGCAGCACTGTGAGATGGGGCACTGGAATCTGTGCTGTGTCTTTCAATATGCTGAAGCCTAATCTGTTGACTGTTAAGAGAGATTCCCATTTCAGTCCTGGCTAAAATATCTGCTGCCTCCCTGAGTTTTCACATTCACAGTGACAACCCCACTGTATTTACTGGATGTCAGATGTCCTGAACTAAACAGCTGCAGGCAGCGGGACAAGATGGGTGCCCGAAACAGCTGGATAAAGCAGCCTTGGGTGTCACCTGGGGAAAGCAGCTTCAGAGCTACTTGTGTTCTCAGTGAGGGCAGATACGCAACAGATGCATACAGCATCATGTAGATGACTGGCCAAATATGGCCGTCTGTCTGTTTTTATACATAAAGTTTTATTGAAAGTTGGCCACCAGCACATGAATGAGTTGAGTAGCGGGGACCATGAAGTCCACAGAATTAAAGTTATCACTATGTGGGCCTTTACAGGAAATTCACTGATGCCAGGACAGATGCTGCACAATTTTATATCATCAAGTATGTGGTTAATTTTACACACTGCATGGTGTTGTTAATGAATTCCCTTTGCTCCTCCTTCTCTGATAATCATGGGATGGGAGTTCTCAGTGAGCAGGTTTTGTATCTTTAGAGCAAGGCGCACTGGCCTTTTTTGGCTGGCTGCGACAGGGTATTCACCGCTGTGAGAAGGGAAGATAAAAACTCTTAACGCCCAGGATGTGGGGATCCAGGTCTCAGGCAGGAGGTCATAATCTCAGACCTAGCCATTTGCAGTGTCCTAGCTGCATCTGGCTCCTACTTTGGTGTGGCTAAAAAGGAAGAAATGGTTTGACCTGATGTATGTGGCACCAGTTAGGAGCCTCCTTCCTCCGCCTCATGCACCGCAGCTTCAGCCGCAAGAGTCTCCTCTTCTGTCACTGCCACCTGGGGACAAATGAGAGCATAAGGGCATGTTATCTCCTCTCCTGTGTTGTGCTCTTCATCAAAGGAAGCCGCGTTTAAGGTGGGCACAGTTGTTAGAGGCAGGCCCTTGGCTTCCTGGCTGCCACAGGCGCTTCCTGGTCAGCTGATCACCAGTTCCCAAAGTGGAGGCTGGCAAGAAAGAATGGGCTCAACTTCCTTTTGGCAAGCACCTGGGATCACGTTCACAGACTAGAATAACTCCAAACCTTGCTTGTAACTTCAGGGCCAACACATGTCATCTGAGCTACCGTTTTAATGACAAAGTTCTTCAGTGACATTAGATGCAGCTGTCCACTTTCACCTCCAGAACATTCTGTGCTCCTAAATGGAAACTGGCCCCATTAAACACCAGCTCCTATTGCTACTTTCCTTAGAACCTGGCAACCTCCATTTTACTGTCTGTCTCTATGAGTTTGACTAGATACTCCTATAAGTAAAACCTCACAGTATTTGTCTTTTTGTGATTAGCTTATTTCACTTAGGATAAATTCATCAAAGTTCACGTAAACTGTAGACTGTCAGAATTTGAGGGTAAGTCCATATTGTTGACGGAACACTATGAACTTCAGTTGAAAGACTAATTATGATATCCCTAAAGGTGCAATAGTAGCACTCACATCTTGGTGGTAATCAGCAGCTGTATAATTGGACTTATGATCACATTGTTATGACTACTTTGTAATAACCATATTGTTGCGACTACCTTGTTATGATCACCTTGAAGCCATGTCTTTGTTTCAGGAAGTTGTTATGGCCAACTTGTTATGTTCTGTTTCTATAAGTCTACCTATTTGCCTTCCAAATTCCTCATTTTGAAAGCCCCTGATCCTGAGCTATAAAAACCCTTATTTTTCCCATGTACAATGCTGATCTCTTGAATCCTGCCTTTGGGAAAAGACAGGATTGCATGTGAATACAAAAAGCTTGCTTTAATTAATTACTTGCTTTAGTTAATTTGACTATTACTTGGGTTGGTGGTCTTTCTCCTCACATCTATGGGATTGACAAGAACCCCCATAACTAAGACTCATGGAACATGGTGGAAGAGGGGGCAGGAAGATTGTAAGAGCCAGAAGGCCAGGACATCTGCTATGAGATAGTGCCTTCGAGACATGACAGGGAAGCTTTATCCATGAAATCTCAACAATATGATTGCTTAATGGGCAACACCCATTGTCATGTGAAAGTGGATTGAGGAAATCTCATAAGGGTCTACCTCTAAATGAAGAACTACAAGCAATTAATGACTGTTGAGAGGGAGAAAATCAGTCTTTCCCCAGTAATGAGCTCCCTAATTAGTTACCCAAACACCAAGTGGCCAGCCCTAAAAAGATATACATATGAGCAACCTAAGTAGATGTGATAGGTTGCACTTATATATTGATTCATCTATCTATCTATCATCTATCTATCTATCTATCTATCTATCTATCTATCTATCTATCTATCTATCTATCTATCTATCTATCATCTATATCTTTCTATCTATCCATCTATTCATTCATCCATCCACCTACCCACCCACCCACCTACCTACCTATCTGTCTATTGTTTTTTCAATACAGGATTTCTCTGTGTAACAGCCCTGGCTGTCCTGGAACTCACTCTGTAAAACAGGCTGGCCTTGATCCATCTGCCTCTGCCTCCAGAGTGCTGGGATTAGAGGTGTGTGCCACTGTGTGTGACTCTGACACATTTCTATTTCTACATTATATATATATAAAATATATATATATATTATATAAAATAATAAAACAAAAGAGGGCATGAATTTGAGGGGGCATTGGAGGGGTTAAAAGTGGGGTGGGGCAATTATGTAAGCACAGTACACATATGAGATTTTAAAAGAATTTTACAAAGAAATGAGTACATATACACTGATGAACAGAAGAGGACCGTTTTCAGTGTAGGCATGAGCCTACTAGGGGATAGCAGGTGTTGGAACTCATCCAGAATTGCTGACTGATGCTGGGAGGCAGGCTAGGGACTCACATTTCTGCTGCTGCAGAGACATGTTCAGGGACAGCTACCTTCAGGTCAGGGTTGTCCGAGTCAGTGCGGAGCAGGACTCATGTAGATCTTTCTGAAGATGCGGCCTGCAGAGTAGAGGCACGAAGGGCTAGGGCAGCAGCACAGGCCTGGAGTGCAGCCTAGACTCAGGGTCAAGTAAAGGCCCCGGGTGGAGCACAGGCTGGGGGCCGGTGGTTCACCGTGTGTGAACCTCCACTGTATCTTAACTCCCTGATTTGGGCAAATGAGTGGTTCCCTGGAGTCTTGCTTGCTCTCTTGATCTGAAAAATGAGGCTAAGAACAGCCCTGCCTCTCAAAATTGCTGAAAGGATGAAAGAAAATGATGTGTTATGAACACACCCTATTGTTATCATTAGTAACATAGATTTGAGACACGCAGCTGTTGAGTATCTTTGCTCTATCACTGATGTATGCACATATCCCTCCTATGAGGAGTAACCATAAAAAAGGGTCATACACGCTTCAATCCATCCTGCTCTGCAATGGAGGAGCCCATTCTGGTGAGAAGCTCGCAGATGCACAGGTAACATTGGGGGTATACATAGCATCTTAGGTCAGATGACAATGTTTCTCTGTCCAGACCATCTGTTTGCTCCATCCCTGTGACTTGGGACAAATTCACTGACACTGGATTCTGTATATGTTACATGAGTGAGATAAAGCTTCCAGGGCACTCATGGTCTTAGTTAAGATGAAAATTGGGAGAATCTTAGAATAAAAGGGCGTAAGGTTAACAAAGTGTCCCATGTGCACAATCAACCTCAAAGCAAGTTTCCATGTGCTACCGCTGGGAACACATACTGACCTTTGAGTAACTGCGGCTGCAACCAAGCAATGTATCCAGAAAACTCCAACTAAAAAGCCCTGGATGAGGAGCAGGTGAGATAGCAAGAGAGAAGGAACAGGCAGTGAGGCTGGGGGATGACAATAGACAGGGCTGCCTAACAACCAAACAAAAGTGGATACGGCAATACCTGGCTCCCAGGATGCAGATCTTTCACCTTGGCCACACGGCCTTTTCCATCTCTTCCTTGGTAAAGTTCATTTTCTAAAATATCTGGAAGTTTGTTACTATAGGGACTGCAGAGAGCTCTAGAAACGATGATGGGCAGCTCCAGCTACCACTTAGGCCCAGGTTTGGAAGGAGGCACGTGTGGGTTCTGAGCCCCTTCCACCTGTACAGCAGATGCAGACGGAGTGGAGAAAGGCACAGTTTTTGATTCAGGGACCACTGGCACTGTGCCAGGCCAGCTCTTAGGGCCCCGGACAGGGTGGATTAACACACATGAGAAATCGGGGCACTGAAAATTATAAATAGCTGGGCGGTAGTGGCACACACCTTTAATCCCAGCACTCGGGAGGAAGAGGCAGGAGGATCGCTGTGAGTTCGAGGCCAGCCTGGTCTGTAGATCAAGTTCCAGGACAGCCAAGGATACACAGAGAAACCCTGTCTTGGAAACTAGAAAAAATAATGTAAACGGCCTTTCAATGCTCTGATTTATGGACGACTGTATCCCTCCCCTCCCTTTCTCCCTCCTTCTTGTCCTTCCTCCTCCTTCTCTTCCCCCTTTTTGGATTTCTTTCTGAGAAAGAGTCTCACAAGGCAGCCTAGGCTGCCTTTCAACTTGCTATTGTCCTGTTGCAACCTCATGAGCACTAGCAGGTGTTGGAATTACAGGTCTAGTTAGATTCCTATACTTTTGAATTGAGATAGAAAACAGTGATGTCCATATTTTACAAATATTTTTCCTGGGGCCAGTGAGATGGTTCAGCAGGTGAAGGTACATGCAGCCAAAACTGACAACTTGAGTTTGATCCCTGGAAACCACATGGTATAAGGAGGGAAGTGACTCCCCTCCCCCTACATTGTCCTCCGACATCCATAGACATCTCATAGAGCATACGTACCCATGTAAATACACACACACACACACACACACACACACACACACACACACACACACACTCTAAGTGTAACTAAAATATTTTTCAATGAAAAAATTTAAATATGTATAGAAGTAGACAAAAGAATACATGATAAACATCAATGGACTACTCAGTTACGGCAACAATCAATTTATATTATTTCTTCCATACTTCCAACAATTTCCCCTTTACACATCATTTTGGAAAAAAAAGCCCTTTTAACATTATTTTATCCACATGTAGATGAGTATTTTTCTAAAAGACTCTAGAATATAACCTTAATACTATCACACCACTTAGAAATTAACAATAATTCTTCAGGGAAATTAATACTCAGAGGGTGAGAAAATGAGAGCATAACTTACAGAACCTCTGGGATACAGCTCAAAGAATCTGAAGGGGAAGTTCCACAGCCATAAATGATCATGTTAAAAACATCAGATAGATCTTAAGTAATCTTAGGTGTCACTCAAGGTCCTAGAAAAACAAGAGGAGCCAGACTCAAAGCAGTAGATGGCAAGAAATAAAGATGAAGGCAGAAATTATGAGACATAGATTACAAGAACAATACACAGGATCTACTAAAGAGTTATTTGAAGAGGTTTTAAGTATGGCTGACAAATTCTAGCTACACTAACCAAAAGAACGAGAAAGAAAACAAACACAAAGTAATAAAATCAGAGCCAAAAAGGGAGTCATTGCTCTGATGAAATCCAGATGCTATTAGAGAACACTTTGAAAACATATTCCAAGAGGATAGAAAATCTAGAAGAAATGGGTAAATTTCTTTAACACACTGGATCAAGGGTGAACTGGCCATTTTCTATAATCAGGCAAGGCTCCTAACAGTTAAGACTGGGGCATCAACTCAGCCACAAAACCTTTGACCTGCAATCTGTCCTGCCTACCAGATGGACTGGGACAGTGGTGGTGCAAAGCTGGTGGAAGTGGCCAAAGCATGACTGGTCCAACCTGAGGCCCAAGCCGTGAGAGGGAGCCCACAC